TTGAGAAGCAAAATAAATCTTTGCTTAGAAAGAGTTCAATGATGTTTGAAAATAGAAAAGTTCAATGATTTTAAAAGTTTGAGGTACAATGAAAATAGGGAAGTTGATTTTGAAAGTATTTGGTACAATGATTGTGAATTGGAAGTTCAACAACTTATTTGGTTTTAAAGTTCCATGAAATGTGATAATGAGAAGTTCCATGAATTAAATATGTGTGAATTATCGTATGAATGTCTATTGCATGATTTAGAAAGGCGGGAGTTCGCTTAAAAAGTAGAGTAGATGATAAATTCACGTGGTAAGACCTCATCTGTGTGATGGATTGCCTAGATTAATTCTATCCATATTGTCCTATTTATTTGACGAGGGACTGTCCCATTGGTTCAATGAGGGACTCAAACCTAGCTATTTATCGATCGGTTTAATAAGGAAGCTAGTCTAGGGTGTATGATGCCTTATGGTGAGAAAAATAGGGGAAATTGTAATCCATAAGTAAGATGAGTACACCTTGGCTGGGTAATCCCCTCACGAGTATTTAGGCTAGGGAAGTCAAGAAATATAAATTATTTCATTGAGTTATAACCCATGATTTCGTGTCAGAGGAATAAGGAGGATATAAGGGAGATGTGATCATGCATATAGTAAAAAAAGGCACTTGTTGTCTATATTGAGTCCATAATGTGGTATATGGTTATATGGTTGTTGGTGACTTATGATCCTTAGTATATGTTTTGAACATTCGAGATTGTGAAATTGGTTATAGTAGTATAAGTTTTAAAAAAGATATCCAATTTTTGTGTTAAAAATAATTTGAGCCTGAGACTAATACCATTAGTTAGAGTCTAGAAAGAGATTTTCGTAGACTCCTAGTTCACATTATTCGGATGTCGGATGGAGATTTGGGGCGCGTCAAAAATTAGCCCTAAAGCTGTCAAATTGACAGCAAATTTCACTGTCAAAGTTCGTGCATTTGCACCGTGGCGCATGGCGTCATGAGCTACGGCCCGTGTCAAAAAGGCAATCACACCACGCTGTATGTCTAATGAGCCAAGGCGTATGTCTAAAATTTTTTAGAATTTTTCTTGTTTTAAATTCTTTCACAAATGCACTCACTTATGAAATGATCACTTGTTTCTGTGTATTTGCAAATTTTGATTTGTCTCTTTGTAAGACTCGAATTGATTTTAGTTTTATAAACTTGGAATCCCTATTTTGTTAGCCAATGAAAATTTTGTATTTGATGTTTACTAATGCCCTATTTTCTTAATTATCTAGGATCTAGGTTTAATTTTAGGATTGAAGAAGGAGGATATTACACCCAACATACCTTAAATCTTAGAAAATTCAAATATAAGGAGAGGGAAAGGTGTGGGAAGCTTGCCCAAAACTAAATATTACTCTAAATGCTTCCAAAGTGATCATAAGGTCGAGCCCTAGCCCACCGGTCGTCTCCCATTGCCTCCTCATGTTCTCTCTATCCTACATCTCATTTTCTATTTGATTTTATGAACTGATAAATGCAAAAATTTGTACATGCGCTGTGGCGCATTAGCACAAAAAGCTCCACACATGTTTTGAATTTCTCATCATGCCATAGCCTACTTATACATCGATCTAGCTCTCTTCTAAAGCTGTCCAAAAATCTAAAAGCTATATTAGTCTCTCAAAACACTATCAAATAATAATTTATCCAATTTGACTAAAATATCCTTATAAATATTGAAAATTTTTAGAATGAAAATCTAGGATGTTATATAGCATCTGAAGGGACCCTTGTTGCTAGTATACAAGTAGTCATTTATTTTACTTTAACAGTATTGCTGTAATTTTTATTTTACTTTATTTTTAAATTTTAGTTTTAATGTATTTTTTAGTGATATTTCTTTATAGGGAAAATAACAATTATGGATTTTGTGACTACAAGAGCATCAATGATAATTGGAAAACTTGAATTGTTAAAATGTCATGGAAGGATTATTGTCTCTATTTGCAATTAAAAGATCTCTAGTTATTGAAATAGTAAATGGAATGTCACTCATGAACTTTAAAAAATAATTTTGAATTTAAGAAAGATTACCTGTAAATTTATAAAAATTCAATTGTGAAGAAATAGATAGTTTCGCTAATTTATATACTATCACTTATGAATTTTTACAAAAGCTAGTGGTGAATTAATGAAAATGTGCTTATAAGTGAATATTTGGGAATAAAATAAGTCCTAAATCACATACCCCCTCTCATCCTTATTATAAAACACATCTTAAAAGAGATTGATGATCCTAAATATAAAGCATTTGGTGGGTATTAGTTACATTTTTTAATATCATTTTTATTTAAACTCACCAATTATAAGTGACTATAAGAGATACTGCAATGCAAATTTAAAATTTTTTTTATTTAAACATGGATAAAATTGGAAGCTTATTCTTTTTTAAGACATGGTTAATGACCTTCGAATATGCAATTACAGAAATAACATTGATTCATAATAATTTGTAATTTTTATTATACAAATATAATATATTAAAAATGATTAAAAATATGATAGAAATTTTAAATAATATAAAATTTGATATGTTAAATAATAAGAATAAAAAATATAAAGGTTGATATGTTGGGAAAAATTATATAATTAATAATTCAGCATACATTAATATAAAAATTAACATAAATAATCAGTCAATTTATAATGTACAATTTAGTCTCTAATTGAATTACGAACTTTATTGATCTCTCGATCAAAAGCCATAATTAAAATTTATTAGTAAAATAAAAAATAATTGTACAAAAATAGCCTTGAAATGAAAAAAAAATATAAAGAAAGTTTCTTTTTATGACAAAAATATAAAAAAAGATTAAAAGTGGAAGAGTCATTAAAAATTTTAAAATAACATGATCATATAAAAAAATTATTATATTGTAAAAGCACATTGCAAAAGTACTTCTCAAAAATTGGAGTAAAATATAATACTCAAACAACATCCCATTTTTTAAAAATAAGAAAGCACTTTGTAAGAATGAGATGTGAGATACTCAAGATTATTAGTATTCATTCACAATTGATATTATATGAATTTATGTGTAACCTTTTTTTAATAATTTAGAATTGATTGTTCATAAATCACAAATAATATATTTATAAAATCTTTTGTTCATTTACATCTGATTTTTTTTTTAAATTCATGAATGATCCTATTAAAATTTACAAGTGCCCTCAAATTTACAAGTAATAATGCATAAGTTTATGAAACTATTTACCTATTTACAATTAATCTTCTATTAATTTATAAAATAATATTTTTCGAGTTCACGACTAACATTTTTAAAGTTCATGTGTAATAACAAATTTGTTTTTGATAATTATTTGTTTTTTAATTGTAAATAAAAATGATAAAAGAGCTCATCTAATTGCATTCAGCCTTGTTCATAGAGCAAAGAGATGAGATTCTACCCACCCTTATGAAGGTCATTTTGGAATGCATCGTTGTATTTTTTAATATATGACACATAAACCATGCAATAAACAAGAAGAAGCTTATATCAAAAATTCAAAGAGGGTTGTAGCACCTATTATCTTCCTGCACTTTTCTTCAATTATGAGTTAATATGAAGCTTTCTTTAGAAACGATTTTCAACCTGTTTTACTTTCAAGGTGTGCTAACTTAAATGAAGGAAGCATCTTCAAACGGGGCCTCCAATTAATTAGGATTTACTTTTTGGCGTTATTGAATGAAATTATTTTACTATATTCTTTTGAAGAATTACTTTTCTCTTCCGCCGGTGTAAGATATGTGCATGCTTGCTAACAATTTTGCTAGTGTTTTATTCAATGTTTCTCATAGCTCTTTTTATTTAAAAAAGGTTATATCAGAATACATAAATTTTCTCTTTTTCAATTTTTTTTCTATGAGCAGGAATATATAAATTTTCTACACTTTATGAATGGGTAGAAAAAATTCATGACATCTAAATTGTCATTGATTGCTTGTCGAGTGAGACAATCCATGCATTTATTCATTTTACTTTGTCTTGAAAGATTGAATGAACAATTCATGGTGCAATCTCTTATTGCTCATCTTATCCTGAGAGATTGGATGTCAAATTATCTTATAATCTCATTCTAAAGAATACAAGAAACAATATTTTATATAATTGAAATTATGAAAATTGAGTATATTAAATCAAGATAAGATATAAAAATTGAGTTTCGATTAAATTATACTCTCTTTGTTAAAAAATATAAAGTTTTTTTATCAAATCTCACTTTTCAATAAAGTAGTTATCCACTTTCAAATTAACCTTATCTTTTCATATTTTTTTATTAAATACCTTATAATAAATATAAAGTCATTCATCAATAAAGATATTTTTAAAAATAAGATAATAATCACTTCTTGAAAGATTAAAAATATTTTACATTTTTAAACACTTAATTTCTCAACATTTTTGAATGAAGAGAGTAATTATAAAATCAAGTTGCATCAAGTCAAATTTCAAAAAATTAAATTTTAATCAAGTCAGATTCAAAACTAAAAGTTTCAAGGATCGGATCAAGTGGTTACTTTTTTTTTTTTTTTTAAGATAGAATATTGATGGTCGGAATTTGTTGGGACAAAAGTCAAAGTAACTCGCCAATTTATCCACACATTGACGGATGCCCATAATAGACGAGGAAAAATAGAATTCGGACTGTCTCGAGGACTACTTTCCCCAAGAAAATGAACAGCATAGAAAGACTGGAATTTCGTGTGAGGGTGAGTAACCAATAACCATAACACCGTCTTCGAATGTCGTGGCGGTGGTGGTGGGAACGAAGCATCTTCACTGTTGACTCGACCTTCACTTAAATTTCATGTTTATTTTGAGACAATAGTTATTTTTTGATGAAATTAAAATTTAAATTAATTTTTTTGAAATACTAGTAACAATTGAATCGAATATTGATGAAAAGAAAGACCTGTTTAATTTTTTTTTATTTAAAAACATTGCAAAATTTTGCCAGACGGCACCAGGGCCATAGTCAACAAAACACAACATGCCTTCTCACCTCTCTCTCATCAACGCCGCTTCACTCTCTTCCCTCTCGTTCTGCTCCCTCCGTCGCTCCCCTAATTTCCATTTCTACCCTTCTGCTTTCTTCTATTCCCAATCGACTCCTCTTCGCCTCTCTAGCGCTTTCCGCCGCGCTTCCAGTGGCCGCGCTTCCATGGATTTACCCGCGCAGGACCTCCCTGTTTCTGTCCATTCTCTGACCCAGGATTTGAAGAATCAGAGCCTCGAAAGCCATTCTACTGCAGATACTGATCGTAATCATAGCGCGAAACCACGGTTGAAGCTGGAAGATCTGAATTGGGATCATTCCTTCGTCAGAGAATTGCCTGGTGATCCTAGGACCGATCTGTTTCCGAGAGAGGTTGGCCTCTTTTTGCCCCCTCCCTTTTTTGTTATATTTATTGAATTTGTTGATAGGTGGTCTTAAGGAAGTGTGAAAACGTAGTCTATAGGCTATCATTACTGAATAGATAGGAAGTCAGGAATAAAAGAGTTGAGCTCATAGCTTTTCGTCTTTTAGATTGATGTGATGGTGAACTTTATTCTATAGATTAATCACATGAGCCGTAAGGTTATATGAGATGCCCTCTTCGGTGCCAAAGCAGTAATTTTATGTTTATAGGATTGAGGAAAACAGAAGATGCAGAGGAGTACAACTGAACATGAAAGGTTCGAATTATCTGTATTGTTGGGTTAGATTAAGGCTAGTGTGGGACAACAATGAAATCAGTGAAGGTGTGCAAGTTAGGAACAAAGATGTTGTTCTTTCTTACTCTCGCTAAGATGCTTATGCAGTGTCAAAGACAGGTTCTAAGGTGTTATTAAGCAAGGAAAACGAGATCATGATGAATGATTCATTGAGCCAATGTAGACTAGAACTCCAAGTCTTCAAGTCTTTTGCAGGATACCTTCACTTGACAAAAGCTACCTGACATATCTTGGCATTTCATCCATTGATTCCTCTAATCGACATATATTTACACTCAATTAATCGACATATATTGAATGAAAGGACTTTACATTGATATTTTGTTCAGAAGAATGGAAAAGTATTTCACATATTTGAAGTATTCCATATTTAAGTGTGTCAATTATGTGATAGGGATTGATAATTGCAAAAGATTAGCTTTTGTTCCGTTAAGCATTGTCTTTACTCTGTAGTTATAGTTATTCACTTTTTGAGTTGTGTGGGATGGCTTGGCAAGATAATCATAGTGGGTATCTTGTTGATGCATATATATTATGATGAACAAAAGGCAAGGGTTAGATCACTCCGACATTTTCACCTTCAGAATTTGAAAGGAAAAGAAACAACTATGAGTCTCAACAATCAAAGAGGAAGAAGTGTTACTTTTATTAAAAACTGTCGATCTCTTTCCTATGTTTCTTCTTTTGCATTTCAGGTGCTGCATGCTTGTTATACCAAAGTATCACCGTCAGCTGAAGTAGATAACCCCCAACTTGTAGCATGGTCAGGATCAGTTGCTGACCTCCTTGATTTGGACCACAGAGAGTGAGTGTGTTAGATTTGTTCTCCTGCTTTTGCATTACGGAAGTGCTTTAATATTGATATACTGAAGCAATGCTAAGTTTCTATGTCAAAGTATCTAAAAGAGTGATTCATATTCTGCAAATTTAGATTATTTCTTGCAGCAATACATCATATGTGTATAAAATTGTTAAAATTTTCATCTATAAACGCCAAGAGGCATAAAATATCCTTTGTTTGTCGTCAGCATATTATCTGTCAAGAACACTTTCTAATGACATGCTTGGGTATTGGGTGGGGAAATAAATTGTGTCAGATGTAGTTATTATAGCTACAGAAATGGTCAAGATCAGCTGCTCAGTTTGTCCTACGAAGCAATCATTTAACTTTCTTACTCAGGCAGTTTAACTGATTTCCCACATTATTCAACGAACTGGCTGGCTGGCTCAGTTGCTCAACTTCTGGGTCTGGGGAAAATGAGTTGAGTGCACCTGTGACAAACTTTGCCTCTTGTGTGACAGTCTGGCAACCAAATCTTTTCTGTCCATAAACCTCTGTTTGGATGCCATTGGACTATGGAGCCTTGAAGTGTTAACTGTCCCAGTTCTGCCATCAGTATTGTTTTCCAGAAAATTGATTCTCATTGAAGGCTTACTTTTGGAAGTTGAATAGCTTATAATGAATGTTGCTTTTATGACTTCATGACTTGTATTGGTATTTGTACTCTTATGACAACTCAAAGAAAGGCTTAGATAAATTTCATATGTTGATAGGGGCCAAGCACTCTAAATCTTTGATTGGGCTTGACACTTTAACCACAAATTTTAAAATTATTTTCTATCACTTATTTTTGGTACCTATATGCAAATTTAAAATGACTAATTATTGTTTTGTTTTGGTAGTTGTTGTAATGCTTTGGAATATTCTGGCTGTCCTTGTCTGTAATTTCTGTCACCTCTCTTATCTCTTTCTCTTATGATTACGTGCCCAGGTCCTTGAATTTCCTTTTTAGGCAATAATCATTGTTGCGACTGAGTTTCAGGTTTGAAAGACCAGATTTCCCCCTTCTGTTCTCTGGTGCATCATCTTTGGTGGGAGCGTAAGTTTCTTCATGTCTTCAGACATCATGCTATTTAGTAATGCCTCATTTAGCCATTACTGGTATTCTGCTACACAGGTTGCCTTATGCTCAATGTTATGGAGGACATCAATTTGGTATGTGGGCTGGGCAATTGGGTGATGGTAGGGCAATTACACTTGGAGAGGTCCTAAATTCAAAGTCTGAAAGATGGGAACTGCAACTCAAAGGAGCTGGGAAGACTCCTTACAGTCGGTTTGCTGATGGTCTTGCAGTGTTACGTAGTAGCATCAGGGAGTTCCTTTGCAGTGAAGCAATGCACCATTTGGGCATTCCATCAACTCGTGCCTTTTGTCTGGTGACCACGGGAAAGTTTGTCACAAGAGACATGTTTTATGAGTATGTTTATCTGAAATAAAATAATGTAGACTGTTTTCTAATCTGCGTATCTGCTTGACGCTATATTTGTAAAGCCTATTGCTTCTTCTGAAAAAAATTCATGCCTCTGAGGAAGAAAGAATTAATTGATGACCATGCTATTGTTATATAAAAAGTTGAAGTTGCAAATATCAATGTTAAATCCTGTTTATCATTTATCGAATGAAGAAAAAAATGAAAAACTTTAAATTTGCATGTCTTTGATGCAAAATTAGGAATTATTTGTTTTTTAATTTTATTTTCATGACTTTTTTTTTTAATATTTGGCTTTCTTTTACTTAAGTTTAAGTTAGATTTTCTCCTACTTTTATTTTAAGTTCTGGTTTGTTTCGTTTAGCTTAAGTTATTGTTGTTGTACTTAGGTCTCTATAAAATATAAATAGCCCTAGGTTATTTTCATTGTAAGAACTTTTGATGAATTATTGTTGAGACTAAATATTTGATGTCAGATCTCTCCCCCTATCTTCCATCTCTCCTTCCTTTCTCCTTCCCCTTCCCCTTCCCCTTTTTTCTTCCCTACTTGTACATCAGTCTTATTGCTATGTACTAGGAGAATTTCATGCTTTAAATTAAAGTTGTGTTAATGATGAAAAAATGGATTTCGCTTGTGACTGCAGTCTTGGTTTTAGAATTTTTACCCTGCTTATGCTAACATTTATTAAATGAATGTTTTATTAATCTCTCACTTGCAGTGGCAATCCTAAGGAAGAACCTGGTGCGATTGTTTGTAGAGTTGCACAATCTTTTTTGCGTTTTGGTTCATACCAAATACATGCCTCCAGAGGTGATGAGGACATGGGTCTTGTTCGTGCTTTGTCAGACTATGCCATTAGACATCACTTTCCTCATATTGAGAACATGAGTAAGAGTGAAAGTTTGTCTTTCAGCACTGGTGATGAAGAACATTCTGTTGTGGATCTTACTTCAAACAAGTATGCTGGTATTTAACTGAACTTTTTGGTTTTTCTTTTTATTGCGGCCATCTTATAAGTGGATTAGGCCTACTGTTCTGTTTACATGCTATGAGGTTTTTCAAACTGCATTTGAAAGATCAGCTCATCTGATCATGTGCCAATCATCAGTAACTGTGTAGAGATTTTATGGCTCAGTGTGTGCTGTTCTTTCTTGCTTTCTCTCTCTCTCCCTGCATGATATTCAATATCTGGTGTAGGCATACTCTGTAATTAGAGTTAAGGCCATGCAGATTTGCACAGCAGCAAACTGTGAGGGGTTTGCATTGTCTGTTTCGGAGCTCAATTCATTTTCTTCAACTTCAGTTACATTGCCCCTACAAGATAACAGTCATATTATTATGTAATATGTGAGTTAAAAAAGTTGCATATACACTCCTTGGATATCAGACTACATATTGTGAACTGTGATTGTTCTACCTAGTTTTTGTTTTTATTTTTATTTTTTTGAGTTCTTTTGTCTTTCAAATAAATGCTCATTAGTCATTGTAATTTTTTTTTTAATGGAACTTTATATCAGCATGGGCTGTGGAGGTTGCTGAGCATACTGCTTCCTTGATTGCAAGGTGGCAAGGGGTTGGTTTCACTCATGGGGTGCTGAACACTGATAATATGAGCATTTTGGGTCTCACTATCGATTATGGTCCATTTGGCTTTTTTGGATGCTTTTGATCCAAGATTTACCCCCAACACTACAGATCTTCCTGGTAGAAGATACTGTTTTGCAAACCAGCCAGATATTGGTTTGTGGAATATTGCGCAGTTCGCAACAACTCTATCTGCTGCTAAGTTAATAAATGAGAAAGAGGCTAACTATGCTATGGAAAGGTGGTGGCAATTCTGAAACCTTATTTTCTCTTAGTTGAGACTTGTCTAAATGATTGTTAAACTTACTCTTACAATTTTTACTGCCTTTTTATTTGTATTTATTCTATTTTGTTCCAGATATGGAACCAAATTCATGGACGAATATCAAGCTATAATGACCAAAAAACTCGGCCTGCCCAAGTATAATAAGCAGCTGATAAGTAAACTTCTTAGTCATATGGCTGTTGATAAAGTTGATTACACAAACTTCTTCAGGCTGCTTTCCAATCTAAAAGCAGATACAAGCATTCCAGATGACCGGTTATTGGTTCCACTGAAGTCAGTTCTGCTAGATATTGGTCAGGAGCGTAAGGAGGCCTGGACTGATTGGGTGAAGGCTTATATACATGAGGTACAGTTGGTTTTCAGTTTTGCTAAATCGATACATGGTTTAGGTGAAATTTTATTAAAGTTATTACTTGTTAGAAGAAGTTCTGCATTTAGTGCTTGTGAAAAAATGGAATTTCTTGCAGCCTGGGCTTTGGTAATAAGGTCCCTGAAAACACTTCATCAGTGGCTAATTGTCTTTGGCAGTAGATTGACTTGTTTTTTTTTTTTTTTTTAAATTGATCAATTTTCAACTCTGGATGCGGAAACGCATTTATAATCTTTCATTTGTAGTAAGTTTTTATGAATCGTTGAATCGATCAGAAAGGTACATCTACTCATTTTTCTTTGGGGCTATACAGCTTTCAACCAGCGGCATTTCAGATGAGCAGCGGAAGATCTCAATGGATTCTGTGAATCCGAAATATATTCTCAGGAACTATCTCTGCCAGACCGCAATTGATGCTGCAGAAATGGGTGATTTTGGAGAAGTCCGTAGATTGCTTAAATTGGTGGAGCGTCCTTTTGATGAGCAGCCGGGAATGGAAAAATACGCTCGCTTGCCCCCAGCTTGGGCATATCGACCAGGTGTATGTATGCTTTCTTGTTCTTCATGAGTCGCTCTTTCACTCGGATATTCTATATACTTCAAATCGAACTAATTATAAACTATAGATGAGGGGAAAAGTAGAACAAGAAAAGAGAAGGAAAGCAGAGAATTGAGAGTATTTATATTTATATTGTATATAGTAGTCAAATTCTGTTCTGTTTAACAAGATATAAAATGTGTGGGCTATGGGTTACATGCCATTTGTTTGTTTTAAGGTTTGAAGAAGTGAGTAATATAGATGCATTGGTTACAATTACATGCCATTTGTTTCTTCTTTTCTTGTATTGCTACATTTTCATTTTCCATTGATGTTCACACATGAAGGCTAAAGCCATTCTCTTTTCCCTGTAACATTATGTTTGCTCGGAAATGCCAGGCTCGGAGGACTGAGAATCATCATTTAAATTAATAATTTATAAATTTCCTAGTTTCCATTGACAATATCATTCAAAAATATATTTCTTGATCCTTGTCTTTAGAATGAATTTAATTAGTTCTGGAATGTTTTTTTTTTTGGGAACTTATTTCATCTCACACCTAATTAAAAATTTTCACTATTTTCCTTGTAAATAGCATGGTGCAAATATACACTTCATAATTTCTTTAAATAATTAAAGGGATCAAATCGATGTGAGAATTATTAACAAATAACTCAATGTAAAAACAATACATGCCTTCAATTTTTTTATTTGTTTTTTGGGGGGGTTGGGGAGTGAGATTTACTGCAAACCTCAAATGAGATTATGGTAGTGATTGGTTGACGAGACAAAAGAGAGGAAATATTGAGAGAAATTAGAGAAAATAGAAAATGAAAAGATGTGATTTTTTGTTTGTTTGTTTGTTTGTTATGCTCGACTAACCAAGAGAGAACGGAGAGAAAAAAAATTATTAATTTTATATTAGCAATAATACTTCATATGTAAAAAATATTTATATATAATAAAACTTGATACTTTAGCCTATTATATATAAAATTTCCATAATATATTACTAATAGAATGAAATAAATTACAAATTATTTTATTCAGTTGAAATTTTATTTGCAAGCAAATAAAAGAAAATGGAGGCAGGGAGGAAAGGGTGGGAAATGAAAATATTCATGAGTAAATTTAGAAGTAAAGTTTTCTTTGCAAAATGTTCTCATTTTTGGGTAGGATAGTTGAACTCTTAATTTCCTCTCCTTTCTATTTTTCTTTCTTTATCAATGGGAAAAAAATGCAATTGTCCTCCCCCCCTTTTTTTTACTTTCATTTTTCTTTACCCTTGCTTATTTTCTCCTGCTATGCATAGTACATATCTTTCTCTGAGAATCACATTAAAAACTATTTAAAAAACTTATGTGTAAATGAAGACTAATAATAAGTTACATAAAAAAAAAAGTTAATATTCTTATTTTAATAAAAAATTTATTTTATATTAATCCTAATTTATGAATAAATTTTTTGAATAGTCATTAAATGTGATTCTTTTAATTTTCTCCCATAGTTTCTTTCTTTGATAATATGGAAGAATAAGTCAAACTTTTGAAGTTTCAGTTCTACAATCCTTGTGGGCCGGAAAAGAACTTCAATCTTAACGACACCTAACCATGTTTGTAATGTCGTTTGTTTGAATTCATTTCGTGAGCCAACTTGCCAACATCATGCAGACTTTGATTTAATGAAGTGTCAATATTTGCTTTAGTATATTGACTTTGATTTAATAATCTTGATTATTCAAACCTTCTCATTGTCACTCAGATGAAAAACTTCACTGTTCTGGAAATTGAACTCGGCCAGCAAATTTTAAATTATAAATAAATAATGTTTATAAAAGCTGATATTCCACGAGAGCAAAATGTTAATGCACGAATACGAATAAAAATTAAAAATATTTATATTTCTTTTTTGTATAACCATTTGATGATCAATGTCATGGGTCTAAATTTGAGCACTCTATCACCCAAATGAAATTAATTACGCTAATGAGTTTTTTTGGTTGAATTACGCTGATGAATTTCAACACATACAATACGTTCACCCATGCAAGCTCATTCTTATGTTTTCTTATGACTTTTTTCTTCTTTTCTTTTCTTTTTTTTGTTTGTCCTGAATCTTCTCACTTTTTTTACGATAAAAAGTTTAGGTGAGTTAATTTCAAACTTTCAAATATATTTTTCAACTCAAAATTTTTTTATAAAGATACTTATATGTTGCTTATTAATAATATCGTTGCATCGATAATAGATAATAACATTTGAATGTTAGGAGTCCAATCCTTGTGTTGGAGGCTAATCTTGGTTGGCCGGATCTTCTGACTTTTGCAGAAGCCAGAACGTGGTCTTGAGCCCTGTAAGTTTATTCCTTTCGTTTCCCCATAACGCTAAAAACGCCTGGATGGCTCATTTGATTAATATTATTATCAAGTATTAAATTATTAAATAAGTGTAAACATTTTCATCCTCAAGTAAATGTATAAGCGGGGCCATATGTAAAAATTATCTTTATTTAATTTTTTTGACCAACAATCTTTATTTAATTTAGTCTACCAAAGGATAAAAAGACAAAAATACTCATAAAGTAGTCAATCACGAGCACCCAATATTCTAAAGTAACAAAAAGGGTAAAAATACCCATAACGTTATATAGATGGGTGTAAAAGTAATCAGACCATTAATTTTGACCTAACACCGTTAACTTTGACTGTTAAATGATGATTGTGTATGCCATATGTCAATCTTTGCTTACGTGAACTAAAAAGGGGGCAAAAATATCTATGAAATCATTAACTAGGAGTAAAAATATCCATAATGTAACCTCGCCGAGGTTAAACAGCAATTAACTTCAAATCATGATAATTTAGGGTTTAACCCTCATAGAATTATCGAATTGTAAAGTGTTATAAAAAGAATTTTTCAAAATTCTTTTAAAGGAATCCCAATCTCAACAATTCAAATCTCAAATATGTTTTAATAAGTCTAAATTAGAGTTTTGAAAACAAAGCAGAAGCTTGAAAATCAATTGAGATCCAAATAATGAGTTTTAAAACTCAAAAATAAATTTTGTGCAGAAAGTAACTTGTGCGCTGCAGCTTATGACATGTGCACCACAACATATCTTCTCTGTGCCATACACTACGGTGCATTGCACGAAATTTGATAGCATCGGTGTTGTCATATAACAGCATAAGGAGTGAACTTCTGACGCGTCTCAAATCTTCGTTCGATGTCCGATTAAGGTGATTTTGATGTCTACACGAAGCTTTCTTTTAACTCTAGCTAATGGCACCAGTTTCACATTCAAACTCATTTTGGCCCTTTTTTTACAAAATCTCTTAAATGGGGTGTCCCAACTCAACCACACGTGCCAATAGCTTACAAACTATTCAACTACACTCAATAGACTCTTGCAGACTTGTGCAATGCACCATACATAATCAAAAACACTTATATCACAAAATTACCACTCAACCCCAATTTTCACAACATATAAAAGGGGAAGAAAAGTTGTACAAAATCAATAATTTCATTCCAAATTTCTCAAAATACATATGTTTTTACTTGCACAAGTATTTGGCCCTATTCATGGGTTCACAATCAAAACTCACTAACCTAGGACACAAAATACACTAGTTATACACAAAATCATGCAAGTGGAACATAAATCATATCAATAAATCCTAGTTGGCAATTACATTAATAAATACACATGAAAGTAATAAAGAGAGGCATATAGAAGATTATTCCACAAATCCTAAGCCTCTGTATGTTTTCCTCGACTCGAAATCGATGAGCTAAGTCCTGAAAATATTGAGAATTGAGGGGTGAGTACAATCACTCAGTAACCAAATTTCACTTAACTCATACAATTGCATATTAATTATAAATAGATGCAATCAAACAAATAAGCACATGTAACATATAACATTCAGCCATGGTTTATAAAATTAACAACTATGTGACCGGGCTTGCTACAAAGCACTTTATCAGGTTATTTAGAAAAAACATAACACAGGGTTGTAAAAATAATAACCGTGTGCCCTTAACACATGCTAAACCACAAAACTAACAACCATGTGACCAGACTTGTATGCATGATCAGATGCCAACCTTATATCCTCCTGTTACCTCCGACATAAAATCAGTGGCTATCACATGGCTACGTCCTTCATGGACTAACCCAGCCTTCCAATTGTGAGGAGTTACCTGGCCAGGGTTAACTCACTTACTTATGTAATTCGGTTTCCTCTAATACTAACAACCATGGGGTGTTGTACCTGTAATCTAACCTCCTCATAAACCAGTGAAAACTAGTTAGATTCGAGTCCCTCATAGAACAAATGGGACAGTCCTGAAATAATCATGAGATAAAGGCTACCTTTCGATTCCAACGATCGATGCCAAGGCTAGTTCTTGATTCCAACGGTCATTGCCAATACCACGTGAATTGTCAACCAATCTATTCCTTTCCTTAGGTGAACTCTCGCCAATGATCATGCTATGCACATTTATCACATAATATGCATTTCAACAATAAATTTATGGCAACCAATCTCAGATAACTCAATACTCCACAATTCAACACATAATATATCACAATTCTTCACCCATAGTAATAAATCATAATCAATTTCATAAAACACCAAGGGTAGCAAAATCAAGGTTTTCTTTCAAAAAAAAACCATTTCACAAATCAACATTTTACTAATATGCATCATCAATTTAACTCATAAATTACATTTTACAAACACAATTAACATTCAACTATAAACATTAACCTCTCCCAACTACCATATTTATGATAATTTTCATATATTAAATGCTTTCATTGGACTAATCACTTTCAAAATCATCAATGTGGTGTCCTAATACATTAAACAACTCCCATTATACTCATTTTAATCAATGGAATTAGACCCATAATCCTATGGACCGAAAATTTATCTTCCCAATTCAAACCCTACCATAAATCATTATATGTGAGAGAGAGAAAGGAAGAATGAGACTTAGATTACCTACATTGGGTACTTGAGAGCTTCAAAATGTCAACAATGGAAGCCAATATGCGTGCCCTAATAGAGCCCAACGTTCTCTTCTTTTTCTTCTTCTCCTTCTCTTCTGTTTTCTCACATAGACGCAATATGATTTATGAAAAATTTTGCCCATGTGCCGTGGCGCACCCTGCCCTCTGTCATGATGTATGGCATAGAGGAGCCTGTTACATTCAAATTTGTCTCTGTGTGTCACGACGTGTGGCATAAAAAATAATTCTTCACTTTTT